ACTGATTTCTTCATTAGTAAAATTAAGATATTTAAATATACGATGGTGACTATTCCACTGCTTTCCTAGGCAATTTGTTGCTGTGCTCAACTGTTCTTACCCTTAACCCAAAGTCTAATTTCTATTGCCTTTCCCAAGATGTAAGCTCATTATTTCTTGTCCTCGACTCACTGCACGCAGAGAAGAGCTAATTCCCTCCAGCTCTGCGGCAACCTTTTGCATATTTGAAGACGATATAATGTCTCCTTTCAGCTAAGTCTTCTCTTCTTCAGACTAAATGCTTTGTAAAGTGTTCTAAGACTAGAATAAAAATGCTCTGCCGGCTAGATTTTTAAAGGGCTCTGTTCCAGCACAGTCACCAAGCTTGAAGCGAAAGCATTTTCAAAAGCAGCATTTTCTCACTAAGGATGGAGAATTGTGCTTAGGCAGAGCTGGTCCCAAAGGCGATGTCCATGCTGTCATTCCAACTGCGCCTAACACCTTTCTCAAATCCAGACTCGCCAACTGTCTGCGCTGTCGACATGCAGACATCGGCGAAGGCTGAGATGAGGAGGGAAAGGTCAAGCGAGTCTCGGTGTGGATCTAAGTTTTCCTTCTCACAGTCTCTGCAGATTATTCATGAGCGGAACATGTGATAGCCCAGCCTGTCAGCAGATACTCTGATTGTGGCTCTTCCTAAGCACCATATGGATGCTTTCAGCCGGAGCTGCAGCCCTGCTAACAGTTGGTAGCGTGGATGAAAACCGCACAACACACAGCGCTCGGCGTTGTCGGCCCTGCCACCGTGACTCACCTGTACACCCCAAAACCAACACGACGTGGTTTCACTAGGGCTTGTCCTCCTGCCAGCAGCCACGCAGCCCCGGAGGTACCATTCTGAGAGCATGGTGGGATTTCCTCAGCCCAGAAAATGGTCGTTAAAAGGCAGTCGTTTAAAAAAAGAAAAGAATTCTGTCAAAACAGAAATTTGGGATTGCTAGTTTAAGTTTCAGAGGTGTCAGCCTCCGGATGATCATCCACTATGTCTCACCTGCTGTCCCTGGACAGTGATGCGATGGGCAGAGCATTCGTAGACCTTAGGGCTGTTTTTCTTTCCTTGTTTCGTCACACCTTTAATGGTCTCATCCTATAATTATACAGCCACCGGAACTGTATGACCCTGAATCACAAAATTAGGTAACGAACCCTCATTCCAATGCGTGAGCGCAGCATCACTCTAACTTCCATGCGTTGTTCCACACGAAAAAAATGCAGAAACCCCGATAATCTCTTAAGATAGAAAAGTTCCTTCTTTCTGTACTCATAAGGACACTGCCATCTGCAACTCCCTGTCCTTTCAGCCGTATAAGTTGGATTGTACAGTGAAATTGTGTAGCCCAACGGCTGCAAAATTGTTCCTATATTTCAAAACACGGTGCTGGGAACATATGTGAGAGAAAGAGAAAGAAAGGCAGCTGAAAGTCTACAGCCAACAGCTTGTGTCAGAAAGCTGCTAAAGGAGGAAACAGTTGGGCATTTTTAATCGCGACGTGGTATCTGCAGGATGAAGGCAAGCAAACTTGGCTTGCGACTGAAATTGTTTGGGGTCTAATCAATTCTTGACAAACGGCACGAGACCGGGTGGTGGGCTTTGAGGCGCATTGGAACACCTGCTCCTAAAAATTTGTTCCCTGAACATCAACTTTCCTGCGGCCTCCTCATACTCATGTCCGTGTATGCTGAAGGCAAACCGGGGGCAAATCACTGAACTTGCACCTCTGCGCGGAGGCAAAGTTGCTCCAGAGCACACGTTGTTAAGGGGGGACATGGGGCGGCCACTCTGAGGCAGCCATGGCCGTGTGCTGCTGAGAGGGAGGCAGGTCAGGCTGCCCCAAGTTGGCCGTGGCTGCGTGTCGCTGAGAGGGAGCACTGGCAGGGCGCTCTGAGGCGGCCATGGCTGCGTGTCACTGAGGGAGGACATGGCAGGGCACTCCTGAGGCGGCCATGGCTGTGTGTTGCTGAGGGGCTACCCTGGCTACACACTCTGAGGCAGCCATGGCCATGTGTCACTGAGGGGGGACATGGTGGGGTGCTCTGGGGCAGCCATGGTCATATTTCACTGAGGGTGGACGCTGAAGCAGCCATGCCTGTGTGTTATTGAGAGGCAACATGGCAGGGCACTGAGGCGGCCATGGCTGTGTGTCACTGAGGGGGGACATGGCAGGGCACTCCTGAGGCGGCCATGGCTCTGTGTCACTGAGAGGGACATGGCAGGGCACTGAGGCGGCCATGGCTGTAATGTCACTGAGGGGGAGGACTGGCAGGGCGCTCTGAGGCGGCCATGGCTCTGTGTCACTGAGGGGGACATGGCAGGGCACTCCTGAGGCGGCCATGGCTCTGTGTCACTGAGGGGGACATGGCAGGGCACTCCTGAGGCGGCCATGGCT